GCACAGAAAGCTAGGCTGGGTGTGTAGAGAAGACACAGTGCACAGAAATGAAGAAACTGGGTTATTAGTGGGCTGTTCCAGCAGTTACTGGTGATGGTGGAATCAGTCATCCAGAGCCCACTCTTAGAGTTCATCCAGTCTTTAATGTATAAATTTATATATTTCATTTATAGAGAGAATCTTCAATAATAAGACATATATATAATAAATAACTCAAATTTGAAAACATATGTCAGACAGCTTCATGGTTTTTTGTTTTGTTTTGTTTTTCTGAGCTCAGGCTGGCCTCCAGCTCTACATGTAGTTGAAGGTGACTTTTAATGTTCAGTCTCCTGCTCTATCTCCCAAGAGCAGGAATTACATGTGTTCACCACTGTGCCTTTGGGTTTTTCTTCTTTCTTTAAGGTTCTGAGGGTTTAACCCAGGGCCTTGGCCATGTGAAGCAATCGCCCTACCACAGAGCGGTATCCCCAGCATGGCGTCACACCTCCTCGGTGTCAGAACCCCCCAGCCCAGGGAGGTCAGCAGGCAATCTCAGCAGTTCTTCAGCTTCTTCTTGCAAAGTCTCCACCTTCTCGTGCAGCAGCATCTGCAGTAAAAACCCGGTCGTGAGGCCAAAAGTCCTTGGCTAGAGAGCTGCCAGCATTTTATGTCTGCTAAACCCTGAGCTTGGCACATCAGTATCTAATGTCAGAGCTGAAACAGTGGGACTGAAAAACAGCCACTTAAGAACAAGCAATTTCAGTAAATGAAGCTGAGGAATTCTGTTAAAAACCATTTTAGCTGATCAGTGTTCAGTGTACCGAAAAGAATGGAGCTTTCCTACACTCAGAGATTTGCTTCACATAAGACCTGGGCACTTAAAACTTAATTTATCATCTATAAAATTTCAGAGGATTTTGCAAAAATTTAATTACCTCTTGAAACTGCCATCCTTTCATATATGTTCAATTAGCTCTGGAAACTGTTATCTTACATATATATTTTACTCTCATAATTTAGTGTGCTTTTAGAAGCCCATCAGTATTACAGAACAGAATTTTTCCTAAAGCTTCTCAAGTACACAAAGTCTGATCTATCTTCCCTTCATCTCTTTCCTCCCTCCTGTCATTTTTCCCTCATGTATTTTTTGATTAATTACTTAGTTATTGCATGTGCATACACCATGTGTCCCTGGAGCCCAGAAGAGTGGGGTGGATCCCTGGGACTGCAATCACAGATGGCTGTGGTGGCCACGTGGGCACTAGAAACATGAACCCAGGTCCCCTGCAGGAGCAGTCAGTGCTCTGAACCACTGTGCCACCTCTACACCCCACCACCATCACTTTATACTTTCGAGCTAGGATTTCACAATGTAGTCTAGGTTGGCCTCATATTTGTGATCTTCCTGCTTCAGGGCTCAGAACGTGCATGCTGCCATGTCTGGAAATAGATAATTTAAAAACAGTGTGCAGGGAAGAGAGTATCTCAAGCACAGCGAAGAGGATATGTGCTGGTTTGCCTTAGTTCCCACACACAGGAGGCAGAGGCAGGGGAATCGCTCAGTTTCAAATCCAGCCAAAGTCACTGAGTCAAACAGCAAAACAAAATGGCATTTAGAATATTTCAATAAAAATTTGATGAACAGTGACTTTTTTCTATTTTCTAAACATGAGAAATAAAATGCTGGTAGCTGCAGGTGGGTTGTCTAGAGAGCAGAGAAACTGATCTGTAACACTGCTTATAATAAAAAGCTTAGCAAAATCTTCATAAAGGGAAAATCCTAAGAACAAAGTGGAAATGAAAAAGAGAACAATGCTCTCTAATTAGATAAGGCATAGCATTGCACAAGGGAAATCAAAATATAAGCCAGGCTTTCCAGTATCTGAGGTAACGGTAACCATATAAACGTCCTATCATATCCTCTAAAAACTACACAGACCATCGGTAGTGGTGGTGGCACACACCTTTAATCCCAGCACTCTGGAGACAGGCAGGCAGGTCTCTGTGAGTTCAAGGCCAACCTGGCTCACAAAGCAAGTTCCAGGACAGCTAGGACTACACAGAGACTCCCATCTCAGAAAACACAACACAACACAACAAAACAAAAAAATACAACAAAAAAAGAAAGGAAGGAAGGAAGGAAGGAAGGAAGGAAGGAAGGAAGGAAGGAAGGAAGGGAGGGAAAACTACACAGACCATAAACTGGGAGCGGTGGTGCACGCCTTTAATCCTAGCACTCAGAGGATCTCCATCAGTTGGAGGCCAGCCTGCCTGGTCAATATAGAGTTCCCGGCCAGCCAGGGCTACACAGTGAGACCCTGTCTTAAAAACAACAACGAACAAAACAAAACCCTACATAGATCAGCAACAACGATACAAAATCCACAGTATCACGAAATACAGAATATTGCCAGCCTCACCCTGTGTCAGGAAGTAGAATAAGCTGGCTGGAAGGTGGGAGAGTCAGACTGAGTACTGGGGTGAGATGGGGCCGTGTCCTGAGAACTCAGGGTGCTGAAGGCAAGAGTACAGCCCCTGCAGACACCACTGGCTTCCTGGGAAACGGTCGGCCCCACAGTTCTGGCTCAGTAAACCGCTGCATCTCTTTGGGTCGTGTTTATTTCTTCCTGCAAACACTTGGTGCGCAGGTACTATCTGATTGTGTGCTGGGCAATATGAAGGAGATGACTGCAGGCTGCCCCTGCCCATTCAGGGACACCTAGTTACTGATACAGTCCTTCTGGGAGGCTGCATCTGTAAACACTGAAACCATGGCTCTCACACCGCTGCAAATATCACTTGAGGCAATGCTCACATGTGAGCACCATTCAAAAACTTGAGAAAGAGATGTATTTTTAAAACAGTTCTCTTTCATATAATGACAGTAACTGTCTTAGTTAGGGCTTCTATTGCTGACCAAACACCATGACCAAAAAGCAAGTTGTGGAGGAAAGGGCGTGTGATAGTTTGAAAGAAAATGTCCTCTAAAGGGAGTGGCACCATAGAAGGTGTGGCCTTGTTGGAGGAAGTGCGTCACTGTGCAGGTGGGCTTTGAGGTCTCCTTGGTCCAAGCTATGCTCAGTGCAACACACAGCTGCTTCTGCTGCCTTCAGGCCAAGATGTAGAACTCTCAGTTCCTTTTCCAGAACCATGCATGCCTGCGTGCTGCCAGGCCAATAACAGACTAAACCTCTGAACTGTAAGCTAGCCCCGGCTAAATGTTTCCGTGTAAGAGTTGCTGCGGTCACGGTGTCTCGGCGGCAGGAACACTAACTAAGCCAGAGCTTATTCAGCTTACACGTCACATCACTGCTCATCACTGAAGGAAGTCAGGACAGGAACTCAAACAGGGCAGGAATCTGGAAGCAGGAGCCAGGGTGCTGATTGCTGGCTTGCTCCCCCTGGCTTGCTCAGCCTGTTTTTCTATAGAATCCGGGACCAACAGTCCAGGGATAAGACCATCCACAATAGGCTGGGCTCTCCCCACCACAAATCACTAGTTAAGAAAATGTGTTACAGCTGGATCTTATGGAGGCATTTTCTCAATTGAGGTTCCCTCCTTTCAGATAACTCTAGTATGTGTGTCAAGCTGACATAAGACCACTCAGCACAATAATGCAACAATGAAGTTTTAAAAAGCCAAGCAATTTATATATTTGTGACCAAGAAGGACATAACCCCAAATTGCTGTGTGATGACTTCACCCACACAAACAGAAGTACGATGGCAGTCTTGAAAAGGGAACTGAAGACCGTGAATGGGTTAAAGAACTTAATATGGGAAAGAGAAAGAGAAAGTCTTGCTTCAAAGGAAGGGCTGGCCTGGCTCTGAGGGGCAGACCGCCAGACACAATGAGAGAAACATGAAGAGACAAATCAACCCCAACATATCGTGGCTTTGGTAACGCTAAAAGCACCAAAACCAACGAGAACCGATTCTTGCCAGCGAAGGGGTCTACAAGCTGAGAGACTGGATGCTGGGCACCCGAGGAGGACACTTCTGTGAGGAGGCTGTGTGGCTGCCAGGTCCCTGGTTTCAGGGAACTCTTGAAACGGTGTGAATTCTTAGGTTGTTTCTCTGCTCTACTCAGCACTCCGATGTCAGCAACAGGTACGGTATCTGTACCTACCAATTCTGAGTACGTGGATTTTTTTTTTTAATTTAGATTTCATGTGTCTGGATGTTTGTCTGTGCACCGCATGTGCTCAGTGCTCCTAGAGATCAGAAGGCATCGGATCCCCTAGAACTAGAGTTACCAAGTGTAAGTTACCCTGTGGGTGCTGGGAGTCGAGCCTGCAGTCCTCTGGAAGAGCAGCAAGTGCTCTTAACCACTGAGCCATCTCTCCAGCCCCCAGTACGGTTTTGGAACTATGAACTACTCTATGACATGCAATGCTTTGCTCTGACATTGGAAGCGTAAGGACAGTATGCTGTGACACACTCTCAAAGCTTGCTCACCTTTGCTGAGGAAACAATCTGCTTGGCCTGGCGTCTGGACAGATGCTCAATTGTCCTCACTAGCACGTCTGGACTGGCATTGGCTAAGTGCATTATACTCTTGTAACCTGCACTGTATAACTGTTTTGCTCGACCCTAAAGTATTAAAGAAAAAAATTAATACTATGAGTATTTGTGACTATAAAAAATACACATGCAGCAGACAACAGACGCAGATACTAGTGTACATATGAAGAGACGACATGGCAGAGTACTGCAGAGTTTTAAGGATGTGTCTGGGAGTCTGATTTGACTTGGGAATTTTCCACACCCTGCAAGTCAGCAGGTGTGCTAAAAGTCTCCTCTCTGCGGCTGAGTGCATCTAAGCTGCCACCACCATTCCTCACTGATAAGAAGTCCAGCTTCTTCAACCTTCCCCATGAAGCCCAGCAGTGCTCCAGGAATCCCCAGGCTTCCATACCAGACTGGGACCGCTGCACATTCAGTCTCAGGGACCGAGCGGCCTCTCCACTGTGGAGACCCCTGCTGCAGGACTACCCAGCGACGTCAGCCGATGTAACAAGTCCCCTTTGTTGATATATATTGAGTCTTTCAGTTCTGTTTCTCTATAGACCCCAGAGCGACAAGGCTCTTTCTATTCCCCATTCTGCAGCAGCACTTAATAAAATGGTAAGACCTAATCTTCCCGTCAGTAAAAACAACCTGAGCTGGGGAACCAGAGTAAGGCTGACCTCTAAGACCCCGGTCACTTCCATGAGCGGGATTAACTCCGCCTTCACGCAGTACGTCAGTTTCTTGGTAAGTTCTACCAACAGGGCTCTGTAAACCCAAAACTCCTCCAGCTCCTAAGAAAAGAAAGATACATCCAATGTTAAGCTAAGCAAGTTACCTCTAAGTTTTTTCTGAAGTTTGGGTGTAGCAAGGGGGAGGCCGATCCCAATCACAATGACAAGGAGGCATGGTGGGCACCCTGGCAGCTTGATGAACTAGCTTTTGGGGGAGGAAAAAGAATTGAAAATAAAAAAACAAGTTATTTCTAATCAAAATCACAGGAAATGGGTGTACAACTTTGTCTGTCAAGTGACTATAGTTTTTACCTCTGGGAATTATTCCAGAGACAGAGTATTAAATTAGGAAAGATTCGAATGCAGCATAATAGTCAACAGAACATTGTCTAAGCTAATAAAAATAAGAAATACGAATCGTGAGCATTAAACATGGCTAAGAGGCATTTGTATCAATTGGTCTTCTCCAGATGTACACTCAAGGGCTGGGGGCTGGCTCTGAGGGAGGTGCCTGCTGCACACTCGAGGGCGGGGAGTGACTCTGAGTGAGGGGCCTGCTGCACAAGTGTGAGCGCTCTTAGCACCCACGTGAAACTCATGTGCAGTGGCGGAGGCCTGTGACCCCAGCACCAGATGTCTGTGTGGGTGTGTAGCCAAAATGGGGAGCTCCAGGCTCAGTGAGAGACCCATTTTTTTGTATTTTTCTATTACCCATTCTGTGTAATTTTTCTGCTAGTAGAACCTGAGCTAGGGAACAAGGACAAGAAGGAAGAAGAAACAATTGAGAAGGACACCTCTGATGTTGACCTCTGACCTCCACATGCAACTGTGGCAAGTGCATACATGTGCACCCAAACAGGCACGCATGCACATGCACACACATAGTGTGCACCCCCCAACACGTTCAGTTTAGTATACTGCAAACTCATACACTAAATATGTTTGAAATGTTAATTTTAAAAGGCCCCTTTCTAGGCTGTGGGTATCACCATAAGAACATGTAATGTCACCCTGACGTCACCGAGCAAGCAGCTGCTGCACTAACAGCAGAGTTAAAGGATGCCGGCGGAACTGCCAGACAACCAGTGCCGAGCTGCCTGGGGTGGGCCTTCCCGCTACACCGGAGGGTCTTCCTGCTACACCGCTACACCAGAGGGCTTTCCTGCTACACCGCTACACCGGAGGGCCTTCCCGCTACACTGGAGGGCCTTCCCGCTACACCGGAGGGTCTTCCCACTACACAGCTACACCGCTACACCAGAGGGTCTTCCTGCTACACCACTACACCGGAGGGCCTTCCCGCTACACTGCTACACCAGAGGGCTTTCCTGCTACACCGCTACACCAGAGGGCCTTCCCGCTACACCAGAGAACCGTCACTAAGTTTTCATGATTATCTGTGGTTAAAAGCTGCCTTCACTAAAACAGCCGCTGTGCTACCTCACGCCGCTGACGGCTTCCTCAAGGGAACAGAGTCACATATTAAAGGACACTAATCACCCTTCATTATTCTACACAGGCATAGACTAGAAGTTGAAGCTAGGAAAGCAAGGAAGCTGAAATTAAAACCTGACAAAAACAGCTTGTATGATATGTCAATTAAAGATTATTTAGGTAGCTAAGTCTGGTAAGATTTGCTGTGTTATTTAAGGAAATTCTACAGTTTTCCAGTTTTAAACTCATCTACTTCTAATGCATATATAAATAAAGCTTATTTATATACATATACTAAGTATATGTATATGTAAAGCCCCTATACTTGATGTGGATTCCTAGCCTGCCTGCCAGGCACTAGGACTGGCATATCACTGTGGCTGTCCAGAAAACCTGGCACCGAGTAATCCCACAGCAGCTAATGGTCATGGCTCACTCAACCCGCTCATCACTCATGAGTCACCACATGGAAGCCGTGGGTTGTGACAGACACCTTGGAACTATTAGCAGTGGTCCTGGGAACGGGCCAGCTCTGCACCTTCTACCGACTTAAGTGTTCTAGTAGACTGGGCAATTTCTGCATTTATCCCATAAGCTCACAGGTAGTAATCTTGTAAACAGGCAGAAACAAAGAAATGCTTTCAATAATCCGCATGCTTTGAAATAACATAGTAACTCAGCAGAGAGAAAAGACGGACACCTGCTTTATAACAGCGGAAATGAAAAGACCAGAAGGACATGTCACACATTGAAGTGAATTACCTCACAGAAATGTAACACACAGGACGAGAATGAGGCGGCTCCCGTGAGCAGGTTTTGTACGTGTCCTCGGGGCATATTAAATTTCTCAGACACACTCCAAACGTTGGTCTCTTTCAGCAAGGAATAAAGGACAAAAGACAGATAGAGCCTGTTGACAATGTTCTTGTCCACCTTCTAGAAAAACACAATCAAATAAACTCAGTTGGTAGCTGGGCAAAAGGCAAAGTGAATGAAACTATTCAGGTCAGCAGGGACAGCATGAGCTCACAAAAGCAGCCTGCCCTCTACCTCAGCTCTTCGATTTTTCTAGTCCTAAGGCAATAAGGTAAGCTGTTTCCAGTGTAAGGTCCACTTGGCAGGGAGGGGAGTGGACTGAAATGCGCATGCCGTAGCCCCTGGAGCCGTGACTGTGGCAGTCGGGAAGAGGACCTTTGCAGACATTGTTAGCTCGGGACGGTACGGTACGGGATGGGACGCCATCCAGGATTTACCACGGGCCCTGAACTCACGGACTGGAATCCTTATAAAATGAGGAAAGGACAGAGACGCAGAGGCCAATGAAGAGCGAGGCTAGGGTCAGAAATGTGCCCGTAAGCCTAGCAGCTGCCTTGCCCAAGCCTTGCGGCTGGGAGAGAGCAGGTGAGGATTCTTGCAGCCTACCCAGGAAGTCAGCATTGCCCGTACCTTGATTTCAGATCTGGGGTCCTGAACTGCGAGGAACCGAGCCACAGGCCTCACATATGCAAAGGCGGGGCTCTATCGCTGAAGCCAGCCGCTTTCTGTTGTTTAAGTCGCCCAGTGGCCTTAGAAAATGAACACGAGAAGGGAGGCAGGAGTGTGGGAGGCACGGGGGGGGGGATCCCTGTGCTCACAGAAAAGCACTAGGGGAACCAGGAATGTTCCAGACAACCTGCTCTGTGTATAACCCATTTGACACACAGAAGGCTGGGAGCAGATGTGCCTAATAGCCTGCTGACCTTTGTCATGCTTATCAGTCGACGGAACCCATCTTTATGGGAGATGTCACATGTACTTTACAAGGAGCTTAATGTTGTCATGTTGTGCATGCAGGATTGAGTTATGTATCACGAGAAACATTTTCACCAAATTGAACTGTACTTAATTAAATATGACCCAAATAAACCACTCGGGGTCAGACTCTCAAAGTTTGAACCAGTACTGGCTGCATGTGGAGCCAAACTCCCTTCTGCTGGAAAGTGGGGTGACCTCCACACTGACCGCGCTGTTTGCGTGTGGATGGGAGTAGACAAAGACGCTGGCTAAACAGTGAGCTTGTCTATACTATGGACTGCAAGGAGATAGACCATGGCTTCCACGTGGCCGTGACAGTCAGTGTCCCAAAGCAGAACCAGAGACAGAAAACGACTTCTGTCTGAGATTCTACTTTTGCCATTGGTGTTAGAGATCTGATTGTTTGTGCAAACAATTTCATCACTGGTATCAAGTTAACTTGCTGGGCAGTAGTGACGCACACCTTTAATCCCAGCACTTGGGAGGCAGAGACAGGTGGATCTCTACGAGTCTGAGGTCAGCCTGGTCTATAGAGTGAGTTCCAGGACAGGCACCAAAGCTGCAGAGAAACCTTGTCTCAAAAAAAAAAAAAAAAAAAAACCAAAAATAAAATAAAATACGCTAGTTGGGAATGATGGTATGCCTATAATCCTAGCACTTGGAGCCCAAGGTAGGAGGGGTCAAGACCTGAGTTACATAGCAAGTCCCTGTCCAAAAAGAAAAACAAATAAGATACAGAAGCGAATTTTGAGATAAATGCTACTGATCAGTGGATTTTGAGTTACAGATTCAGCATGTATATAATGGGCCATCCTTTTAAAAGCATTAAGCTGAAAAAGTATATACAATACTAGGTAGGCAAAGATAGCCTTTAAATTTGTCGTTTTTAATGTACTTTTACCATTAACTATAAATTGAGTAAATGGAGACTTTGCTTAGAATGTAATTCCAAAGCCAGGAAAAACGACAGAATTATTAAATGGCTGGACAGATGCTCTAATGACAGTTCCAAGTGTTTGCAAGAAATGTCAACGATAAGGGGTAGGGGTCGCTGAGATAGATCGGTGCACAAAGCACTTGTCGTACAAGCCTGACTTCATGAGCCCAAGTGCTGGGGGCCACAGAAAGGGGAAAGGGAACCAACTCCACATACACATACACACACACACACACACACACACACACACACACACACACATGCGCACACACGCTAAGAGACAATAAAGTTTTAAAGGAGTTGGTGAGGTATGGAACTTTGGTTTTTTCTTTTTTTCAAATTGTATTTATTTGTGTATGTGACTGGGTGCATGTGTGCCTTGGTGCACACGAGGAAGCCAGAGGACAGCTTTTGGGAGTGGTTCTCTTCTCCCACCTAGTGGAAGCTCTGTGGCTCTTGTTTCTGGCACGCTGTGTAGTCTAGGTTAAGGCTTTTTAGGGGATCCTGAGGATAGAACTCAGGCCTTGAGGCCAGTGTAGCAAGAATATTTTCCATTTCCCACTGAGCTGTTTTGCCTGCTCAACTTTCTTTTTCAATATGGAGAAATAAATTAGGTTTTAAGTAAATAGTTTTTTCTTGGCTTTTGAGACTAGGTTTCTCTATAGCCTTTGGCTGTCCTGGAACTTGCTCTGTAAACAAGGTTGGCTTCGAACTCACTCACAGAGATCCATCTGCCTCTGTTCCCTACTGCTGGGATTAAAGACATGTGCCACCCCTCACCCATAAATACCATTTTCTTTAGAATTTGAAATAGTTATATGTCTAAACTATTAAGCAAGTAAATAAATTATTAAATATTTAATTATCACACAACAAACATTGACTATATATGAAAATGTAACAAAATTAAATTCTAGATTCAAATTTTCAAAGATGCCTTATTCTAAGAAGATTTTGTATGTGGTATTATTTAGTAGTTAGTCTCAAATTAGTATGATTTTGATTTTACTTTACATTTTAGAGGTTAATATAAAAGGCCTTTT